ATATACATACATACATTATATTAATCAATAATAGTATAACAATGTAATAGTTAATAATAATTAGCATAATAATAGCAATAATAATAATTGTACATAATAATATATAGAAATTTGTATATATATGAGCATAGCTACATGTATGCATGTAGTTACATATACTAATAAAATATTTTGTTTTTTCACTTTTTTTTTTTTTTCGCAATTAAGGCTTTTGTTGTAGCTTATTTAATGTTTATGTTTACTTCATTTTTTAACAGAAAAAAATATTTTATTTGAATTAAATTGAATTTAATTAATTTAAAGTGTCGTTACAACACAAGTGTATGCTATTGTTGTTGTTGTTTTTCATATATGTATTTTTCAGGTTTTTTTTCAATATTTTTTTATTGACAATATAGTTGACTATAACAGTGGTTGCGCCGTGAGGAGCATGCAGGCCTAGCCACATTTCCATACTATGTGCTAAAACCTGCGCGTGCATGTGTGTATGTGGGTGTCTATGTAGGCTATTGCCGCAACAAAAAAACTAAATGTGGCAAATATGTGGAGAATTTGCGCAATATTGTGATTTATTAGTTGAATAACTCGCGCCAGTGCCGCACTAAGAGCGCTTTAACAAAAAAAATAAAAATAAAACACAAAAACACAGAGGACCTAAAGCTTGATATAAGCCGCTTAACGAAAAAAATCGCAAAAAATTAAAAAAAATTTAATTAACGTGTATTAAAAATGCTTTGTGTCCGCCATTTATCTCGCTCGTACTTAAAAACTGCTTCCATTGAGCTTAAAGTATGCTTTGCTGCATATTGTATACTTTACTACATCTTCTTGTTATTGTTGTTGCTATTAACATGTTAATTATATAGTGCTTATTGCAATGTTTTTGGTCTCTTTTACGCCTCACCTTCTTGACGCCGTTTTGTTAAGGAACTAATACATTTATGATTTCATATTTTAATCGTGATTTGCTTTCTTGCAGTTTTTGTTATTTGATTTATCAATAGGCTTTATGTCAATGATTCGATGCTTAACTTACCGCTAATTAACTGTGTGTTGGTATGTATGTATTTTGTTGTTTTTTCTTCACGATTTTTTTCTTGATATTCCACCCACTACTTTTATCAATTCAATTAGCTCTTATTTTTATTATATAAAGAATTTGTGAAAGCCTTAAATGTAAAGCTAATTAAAAAAGAAGTGTGCTTTTATTCATATATATATTTTATTTTTTAATATTTTATTTTCCAATGTACTTCTAATATGTTAAAATGTTTTGTTGCACCTTTTGTGAGATTTTCTTTTACTTTCTGTTGTTTTTTTTTTTTCTACCTGCGTTTCGTGTTTTCGCTTTCTGCTACATATATTTATTGTAACAGCGAATATTTTCCTTGCTTATTTGTTTTTGCTTTTTATCATTTTCTTTAACTGTTATTGAAATGTGTATTAACACTAATTGTTTGCTAATACATTTCAATATAGTTTTTGTTTTGCTTTTTTTTTTGTTTTAATTTAGTTAAACAATAATTTAGAATTTCTTGTACAGTTTCATAGGATTTGCGGAGAATTCGCTCTATTGCTATGCCGAGTGGCTCATAGTGAAAATTAAACTTTAAACCATATTACAGAAGTGATAGTTCTGATCTTTAAATTTCAAATAGGTTTGTAGAAATATACAAAATATTATAATAATTAAAAATATATTAATTTAAATTTTTTTTAATATCTAACCTTTATTTTCCAACAGAATCTGAATCTCTTTATTAAGTAACCAATCTTTCTAGCTTACTCACGATAGAACATCTAATCGATAACCAACGTTGGAAAAGACAATAAGAAGTGCTGTCCTCTTAAAATATCCATACCTAGTTATATTGTTCAAAGCCATTCTTCACAGATCTCTTAAGGTTCTAAAATAGAAACTGCTTTTCTCTTAAGCTTCGAAACACGACACCAATAGATTATAGGCATTGGAGCGTTGGATTATTGATTACGCCCTCCAAGGTTTACTGAAATTGTTTAAAATATTTATGATAGTTAAGAGCTTTCATCTTTTGTACTACAATCGTGGGTGAGCCTATAGGAAGAACACATACGAGTAAATTCGCCAATTACCTCTATCCTTTGAGAATTCCAGACTAGTCGCTTACCAAGTACATAGGGTATGGCCAAAAGAGCTTTTCGTTAAACTATCACCTTCCATATTAATGACATGATCTAATCATCGGATCCTCTGGATTCTTATGCGGTTAATGCTTCCATTTTCTTCGATATACATAGCAAACGCGGACGGTTACAAAGATCTTACGAAGAAGTTTTCTTAAACGCTCCAATTGTTTTAACATTCACGTGTCTGGGTCGTATAATAGGACAAGAATAGTTAGAGACTTATGGAGTGTGATTTTTATTCGACGAGAGAGGGATCTAAGTCTCAATTGCCTACCAATTCTAAAGTAGCAAAAAAGTTATTCCTCGCCTGAGCTTTAGTCTTAGATTATTGGTGGAGTTTAAGCTGTTTCTGAGATATACAAAGTCCTTGACTTTTTCAAATTTATAGCTACAAACAGTAAATTAGTTCCCAAGGCCTGAGGAATCATTGCATATTATTTTCAGGTATTTTGACTTGCTCACAAGACCTAAATCTTGCGCTTTTTCCGCGGTAGAAAAGGCTGTTGTTAATGCCTACGATGTCAATATCATCTGCTTACCCCAGCAGAATTGTACTTTTAGAGTAGACAGTAGCGGTTCAGATTAGCAGACGTTTTATTTTATCCAGCGGCATCGAACGGCTCGGAGAGGTAACCACAAGTGTATTACAGGGACGTCAAAATTAGACATGACGTCGAATGGGTTACCATCAGAGCTGTTGAAGGCAGCTTTGAAATCGATAAGAAGGTGATGAGTCGAGACTGTTTATCAAGAATGTTCTCCATGATTTCATGTATTGTGAAAATCTGGTCTATGGTATTCAGGCTTAATCAGAATAAAATAACAAAAAGGTTGATCCCGATAATAAGCGCAAACTGCGAAATCTTCCTATATATGGATAGTCCAGGGTACACTTACATTCCAATAAATAACCAATAATTCGAAGCCTGTTTTGTTTTTATGACAAAATCAAAGAAAACAAAGAGATAGAAACCTTAAAGAAACCTATATTTCTATCGCAGAGGGTCTTCAGTTCCCCAGATTATATACCATTGCTTTCGGTTACCTTGGTTATTAGTGACAGTGCACTTAAGCCTTACGTTTTTAGAAAAGAATTTCAAAGCTGGAATATTAATATATTCTTCTGTCGTCCCACAGATTTTAGACTTCGTATTGAAGACGTTTATTGAGGGAGGCAGATCGATTTCCTTAAAAATTTAGAGAACAAAGTCGGACTCCTACTAAAAAAACCCAAAAAAAAAAACCGTATCAAGTTGCGCGAGAAAACCTTACATATAGAATTGCCTCTTGTACTTCAATCAGGCAAGCATACTCGAATCTATCAAATCTTCGCGAGTAAATAAAAAACAATAGTTCGACTTATGATACAAAAATGTAGACAAAACTCACAAAAATAAGCGACAAAATTTAAACTTCACTTCAGCTGCCACTCACCACCGCCAATCCGCTCACTACAAGCCACAGAGAGCGCACATAGGCCTTGAAACTGTTTGATTTCGCAGAGATTTAGTTGTAGTTCGTTGCGTATTTAAATTGTTCCTAGGTTTTTTTGTTCTAACAAACTACTTCTTTATATTCAATATTGTAATTTAGCATATTATTTGTTTTCGATTTAAATTTCTAATAAAATTTTAAAATATTTCACTTAAACTTCAATACTGAAAATGACCGAATGTGTTTTAAAATGACGAATTTCACTTTCCCTATTGGAATGCGATGCTGTTAAATGTTCATTTTAAGTAAATGTCTCTAGTAGGTGTGTGTGGCTTTTGAAAAATTGCGCGCTTTTAGAATATATATTTGTGTTGTTATAATGTTTTAGCAAATTTTAGAAAAGTTTTTTTTTAATGGAAAATGAATTATAAAACAATTGATGGTGCAAAAAATGCATGCCAAGTTTATTAAGTTTTATATTGCCGGGAAGCAACCGCCCCTGCCAGCCCCAAAATATAACAAGGCGAGGCGATTGATTGCACAATATATGACTAATGGTTTTTAATAATTGTTTCTTATTCAAAAAAAGAAAATAATAATAATTATAAAAAATAGCAATGGCACACAAGTAATCTGCGTAAACAATAGCTTCGCTATATAAACGTTGAAAAATTATTTTGCATAAATTGTTTTCGAAAATTCCTTGAACTACTTTTAGACGCAAACGAGATTTTAATGGATTTTTAAAAGTATTGTGTTGCAACTTTTTACTAAATTTAGCTATTAAGCTTTATAAGAGCAACTGTATATTATTAGCTGTTCATTTCGCCCTATTTCTTTATAGTTATTAGCTCTTATTTTATATTCAATTTCAATATTTTTCTGCTTTCAATTACGAAAAGATTGTTGTTTTGAGCTGAAATTTGTTTTACATATCCTTGTAACTATATATGTATGTATATATATATATATATATATATGTATTGTATTTTTTATTTGCATTATTATATTTAGAATTTGTTCTAATATGCTTCTTGGTTACTTAAATCGCAAAATTTTCAACAATTCAATTTAGAAAATGTAGTTTATATTTTCGTTTTCCCCTACACTTGTTACTCAATCCGCATATTAATTAAAGTTTGCCGATTTGTTCTTAGCTTGTATTTAAGTTTTCGCTTTTCGCAGCATATTTCTACTAAAATTTTATCGGGAAGACTATTAAAAGTTCAATGTTGAAAGCGCAAATATGCAAAGTATGTAAAATTTTTCAAAAATATTTGCGGAAAATTATTTAAAAAATTCGAAATGTTCAATTTACTTGCACAAAAACAAAATTTCAAAAATTTTATTTCTGAAAAAATTTAAGTTTTGAAAATTTTTGTATAAGTTACAACATTTTTATAGTTTAAAAAGAAAATAGTTCTTAACAATTTCATTTTTATTAATTTACTTCGTACTGTTATTATTCGTGTTATTACATGCCCATATTAATGTTTATATGTAAGTGCCTAACCCTTTTACTACGATCTTCGCATGCTCCTCAACTTAATGTCGCTCGTTGATAGCGCCTGTCAGCGCTTTATAGATGCCATATATTAACGGTAATAATAGCAGTGGTTTAGATATCTGCAAGTTGTTAGAGCCATTGCAGCCATCGGTGTTGCAGCAATAGGTTTGTGTCTCCCAGATTTCTGAAAATACACAAAAACACAGAAAAAGTACGAAAATTTTAGTTTAAATTTTTAATTTTTTTTTTTTAGAAATGTAATAAGGAACACAACGCTATATACCAATATATTGGTCTAAAACTGCGCACCGCCGTTTTTCTTTTATTTAATTTGTTTTTTTTTTTTTTGTAAATTCAAGGCTTTATTGTATAAACACGGTCCAAAAGTGTTTTGCCTTATTCCCTTAAAAAGCAATGCTTAATTAACACACGAAATGCTTCATGATCCAGTTTTTTT